CACTCGGAGGATGGCGCTGATTGTCAGTTCTCGGAACCATGACCAGATTGCAAGGGAGACCATGAGGCATATGATATGATTGATATGTCCTAAGATTACAATTCCACATCCAATATCAAAGTACGATACGTCCAAAGACTATATATATACACTATAATGTCCCAAAACTGTGTTTAAATGTGTTCAATGTAAATGAAAATGCAACAAAAAGAGTTACAACATGTTACAACATACCATAACCAAAGGACCAAATCTATGTCCAGGTCCATTGCCATTCCGAGTTCCGTCCTTTTCGCTTCGAAACGACGCATCGCAAGGGATTTCCCGTTTCCGTCGCCCAGACACGCAGCGCGGGACGTGCTTTCCGGCTCCGGTCTCCGAGAAGAACCTGAGTGGAAGCGCGGAAGCCTGGGAAACGGTGTGAAAGAGGGGTGGTCCACCCTGGAAGACGTCGCATGGTCGATCCTAGGGTATTCCAACAGGTTTGCAACAAGTTGAACCCCTCCCTGGCCACAGGGTTATCATCTACTTTCCTTCCACCAGGACATCGCCTTCATCGCCCAGGCGCGTGTTGAAGGCATCATCACCTCCGCCGATGGTCTTGTCGCTGGGCATCTGGCCATCAGGCTGGATGCCATGCTCAAGGCAGAAGAGCTCCCAGCAAGCATTGCCGATCTGGACGCCTCCCTGACCTGGGTTTTCGCGGCAAAACTGCTGTGGCTCCCAAAAGCTATTGTCGACCCAAAGCTCCTTTTGCAAGACAAGGGGTGCAAGGCATCTGTGAGACCATGGAGATAGAATGGTGATGAATGGTGTCTTTGCGAGCCACATGTGTTGGTCAACCTGAAGAACAATAACCAGACTGGCACCTGGATGTCGAATGCTCCTTCTTGGCAAAAGGCAAAGTTCAAGAGGGAAGAGCAACAGAAGAATGACATGAATAGTTCTGTGGATTCGTTTGAATCACAGCCCCAATCCGAACTATATACAAACTGTTGTGCTCAGGAAAGCACAAGACTTACACTGCAGCAAGAGATAGAAATGTGGATTTGACTTGTAGTGGGACATCAACATGGAAGAAATGTCATTGATCCTTCTCACCGTAATGGGAAACACAAATCAATCCATTCCTAGTGTCGCAAACGAATTTGTATATAGACATGTCAAATAAAATATACCTCGTCAATCTTCACTCGACCTGGTCAAATCCAAAAGGCCAATGTGGATGCAGATGGCCTCACGCATGGCTTCGAAGGTCGAAGATAGGGCAAGTGAATGGGCGGAAAGTGCCGTTCAGCGCACCGCGTGATGTGGCAGCCTTGGACACCAATCCTGGAGCCAAAATCCAACATCCAAACTCCTAACTCCTAACACTCTGCAGGACGAACACTAACATCCAAACTCCTCATACATCGAAATATACTAACTCCTTTGACACTTCTAACAGCTACATCTAACTTCTTAACACTCTCCCAGCAATGGACACCTTCAAAGTTCTCCGCTGTTCGACCTTCCATGGACAGAACTCGCCCAAAATACAATGGACAGCCCGCGGAATCTAAGGCTTGAGATCTGGGCTCTTGAAGTTCTGCCCTCCAAAGGATCCCAAAAGAACCCATTGTTTGACGATCAATCAACTTGTTGGTCTTGGAGAGTTTCTGCGTCCAAAGCCAGTTCTTTGGGGACCAGCCAGCACTTTGGCATGAATCATGGGCCGGCTTCAACTGTCTCACCCAGCACAACGAACTTCAAACACACAAAACTACTTCATAGCAAGGCGCATAAGCGGGTTTGAAATATTAGGTGCGTCGCGCGATGCGTTTGCTTTTGTTCTGTGTCTGCTTTATTGTTCTTATTGTACTGTGTCTTTATTCTTCTTCGTCTTCTTCTTTTTCTTGTTCTAAGTATTACTATTCTGCACCTACCAGTGTTATGACACTAAATCAAAATCCATAACTGTATCTTGTTGGCAATTCCCTGTCTTTGATTGGTTTTGAGTGTGCTGATACTAGTGGCATCTTCTCAGGTGGTGATCAAGCATCACCCTCAAGCAACTCACAAAGTATCCCCCACGATGGCAGGGGCACAAAAAAGAACCAGCACTAAATAGAGCTGAAGCCGCTGCTAATTGCCTTTAGTGCCTTCCGAGGAGGTGGGCGGTGTATTCATCACAAGTCACAAGTCGACATTATAGCAAGATGTTCATATTGTGAAGTATGGCCTGTTCACTGGATCCCCCAGGCTCACTAGGCTTCCAAAATTGGAGCATATCTCGACTTTGGACTTGGGGACCAGCAAGAGGCCACCGTTAAAAGATTACTGCAAAAGAAAAAACATGAAAAAGACCCAGCACCTCCGGGCATCCGCTTCCGGACCTTTTGCTATCCCCGGCTGATCGTTTCGATCCCAACAGATACACCAAAGACATCAAATGACCAACGGCGGCTGTCGCATGAGTGTCTTCTCCCCCCCAAATCGCTTCGGGCGCCGATACTGAGTTTTGGAAGATGGAAAAGCACCGCCAGGCTTGTGGACACCCCAGCTTGCAGCCGCAGTCGACTTCCTGTTGTTTACTTTGGCCTCCGCTGCATATGCTTTGGCTCGTGAAGAAAGCGCTTTGCAAAGTATGTTTCGGTGTAAGCCATGGCACTTGGCAGCAAGTGCATCTCATTCCTCTCTGACAGAACTTGAAGGCGCGTGGCCAGGCGCGGGTAACTAAAGGAGAGAACCCGAGGATGCTTGCTGATGAGGGTTGCAGCTTCTGATCTAGTAAAGGCTCTTTCCAGCAATGCTTGCTTGGGCTTCAAGTTTTGCTCGAGCCTCAACCTGAGGATTATGGGAAAACTGGCCACCGCATGGACAACTTCACTTTTAGTCAGCCCCAAATCCAAAAGCCACCGTCTCGATGGCTCCAGGTTCCTCTCAATGCCTCCGCTTAAGGCCGATGAATGGCTTGCCACTACATTTAACAGTTGCTCTTTGCGAAGGCCCAAGTCTAGGAACCACTGGACTGTCGGATTCAGGTTGCCCTCGATGCTGTAGCCAAGAACTGCAGGAAACGTTGCAATTGCCTTTGCAACTTGAGCCTGTTTGAGCCCCAATTCCAGGAGCCACTGAGCTGTTGGCTTCAAGTTCCCTTCAATGCTCAAGCCAAGAATTTGAGGAAACGTTGCAATTGCCTTC